GAAAATTGGCGCGCGGCCTGCCGATATTTATATCCTTGCACATGCTCAACATTTGACCGTTGTGTTTCCTGTATGTTGTCATGGACACCAATATGGCTGTCATTCCTTTGATTTGGTATCCAATATAGCTAATATTATGTTATATAAAAACGATCTATTGTTAATCCAACTAGCGGCATTCCGAGACCTTTGCATCGTGGATATTTAAGCTTGGACGTATCGGGAAACATTTTTCTCCATTTTTTTTTTAAAAATTGAAATAACTTTGCCGTAATGGATATTGCCTTCTTAATTTTTCCCCTCTTTCCCTTCCACTGGCTCTTGTTCCCATCGCTTACAGCCAGGCAGCTGGAAAGTTCTCACATTGCAATCTTTTTTGTCTTCCTTTCCCAGATGCGTGATATCAAGAAAATTGGGGTATGGCCTGTAGCATTCACTGGTGCCGCGAGATACGCAGGTCCCCTCTGCAAAGACGGCCGTGTCGTCGGTTTTTACACAAACTGGCGACCAAGTAGAACGTTTCCACTTGACATGGCAGCTTTTGCCATAAACGTAAAAAGGCTCATTGTGGATAAACCAAAAGCTCACTTTGATGCTGATGCTAAACCGGGAGACCTGGAGAACTCTTTCCTGGAACAGGTTGGAACAAGGGAGGATTTGGAGGCTAGAGCGTCGAATTGTTCAAAGGTATATAATAATTAGCAGATAGATTTCATGTTGTCGTGCGCCTGCTCAGGTATAGTTTACAGATGACGTCAAAATGTGATCACTGATGTTCTTGACCCTTTAACTCCTAAGATCTGATTGCTAACTCACCTCCAACTTTTACACAATTCCTTGCAGATAAGTTGGACGAAATCAGTATTAGACAAATATAATAACTTCTATCTGATATATTTTGGGTATTCTTATTTGCTCTTTGCTGGATAATGTATGGATATTAAAGGGAGAAGTTTTATGGTAATCACTTCTGGAAGTTAAAGGGTCAACACATTCAGATATATTCTGTGATCTATTACAATGCCGACCCACGGCAACGAGGATTCTGTTTTTTTTTTAATGATGCAAACACCAAACAACGACAAAAAAAACTTTTGTTTGTGTTGACGTCATCTTTGCGTGTTTCCTCAAAAAATGACATGACTAAGAACCAAGCAAAATTCGTGTAAATTCGTGTATAATTCAGCTTATCATATGAGCATGACTGTATTTACATGATCAAAATGAACATTTTATTATAATTATTATTATTATTATTATTATTGTTATTTCCATTATTGCTCTTATCATAATCAAAACCAAATATGGATGTGAAAGCGATCTTCGCAATAATGAACACTACTTAAGCAGTAGTGAAAACAACGCTTGGAAAAAAGTCCAGTCCTGTGCAGGATTTGAACCCATGACCTCTGCAAAACCATAACAATAACTCTCGAACGTGATTGGTTATCACAAGACTGTTTTTAAAACTATTAGGACACTGTACACGTCATGCTTGTGTAATTGGACAGTATGCCTCATATGAGCGCTCCTTTGTCACGCATTTCGCCGAGTTAAGTTTTTTTATGAAAACATAAAAGTCATAGGTAGTTTGCTTCCGAAATATTTTCATTGTTTTTGATCAATTGGTAACAGTACATCATGTCGTCCAATTCTGTCTGTAATCATACTTTTGATGATATTATGATTAACAAATTGGATTCCCTCATCGCATTCGTCCGATTTTTTTATCACAAGTATGATTATGGAAAGAATTGAACGCCGTTCAGTACTCTTACCATCACTAATTATTGTTTTTATTATTATTAATAATTAACAAATATTCACTGAAATGGAGGTGAATAGTGTCGGATATTTACCGAGCCGCGAATAATGGGTTAATATTTGTTTTAGTATATAGCACACAGATACAAAAAATTAGATTATTTCTTTCAACATACCGAAATACGGTCGGAAATTGAACTCTCTATGCGATTTTGTCTCCTTTAGCGAATAGCACTATTCACTTCCGAACTGGCCAATCAGCGCGCGCGAAACGCACGATTCACTGGCATGGTATACAATAATTGTTATTATTGTAATTATTTATTTATTATTATTCAGTATTATTTTTGTTATTGTTAACACTGTTATTATTATCATTAATATTATTATTATTATTGGTATTATCATCATTATAATGTTTTTTTGAATTGTAGGTTTATGTGTGGCACACTAGAACGGAAACACCAATCAAGAATATAAATGGCGAAAAACTGCTCATCTCCAAAGGAAAGCCTTCTAACCCAGAGGTGGAAACATAGCAGAGCTGCATCCAGTTATCAAATTATTGAAGTAATTAATGAAACTAAATTTGACGAGGAGATTTTCAAATCTCCGATTCAAACGTGCAGCGTCAATGTCATGCGCCAAGTGCCTTGGTCATGCAAACAGCCAAAATGAGAGATGGAAAAAAAGGACACGGGTGACGGTAATTTTTCCTCTCTGTTTTGATCGGTACGTGTTAGGGCGAAAAAAAAGATCCAAAATATGGCGAAACAGAAGTTATTCATACTGAAAAGATCAGAATACGTATGTGATGTCGTTGTCCACAAAGTAGCTTGTCGGTTCCAACATTTGGAATCGTAAATACCAAAACACTTAGAGATTATCTTCATATTTCAAATTCTTCAAATTTATAGTTGTGTACCTTGCCTTTACTGCAATCTCAAGAAAAGATTTGCAGACAAGTGCTAAGTATTTTTTCTCTCTGTTCTAAAACATAACAACTGAGACGGTCGCAGAATGGCAAGTCACGAAAGAGTCAGCACTGAACCACATTTGATGGTAGAAAACTCGTATTTAATGCTCCACATAATATTATGTGAACGCATTATTTACTCTCATATCTTAGACACTTAAGGTAAAGCATGTTCCAGAAGCCACAAAAATTTTAATCTCCGCCCTTTAAAAGCAAAACCGATCCAAAAGTCTCTAAATCAGCCCAGAAACTCACATTAAGTAAAAGAAAACAAATACAGAAGCGACGTAACACTGTTTTATTTATAGCCAATACAATTTTTTAGATTAAAAATGCGATTTTTTATTCCTGTACAAATCCTTACATTTGGCCCGTTTCAAAACATAAAAATGTTTGCATATTTACGGAGTCTCATTATGCAAGCTTGAGCTACCTGTGCAATGAACAGAGTGACAGTTGTTTGTGACCTGAGCGTTGTGGTTTTGCGTAGGCAGACAAATATTTAGTTACTTTCAAAGTTGAATTTTTTTTTTTTTTTGCGCATTTAAACTGTTAGGATATCATTTGAAACATTAACACGCTGTAAGAAGTAAATTGTAACATACACTTTGTAATGGCGGAGATTTTAATCATATGGTTTGGGGAGCATACTTCTTCTCAAAGGCCTTTTCAGAATTTCTCCTGTTTCCAAGACATGTCATTTTCACTGCTCGCGGTGAAATCATTATTTATATATTTCGGATGAAAAATGATTTCTTCATGATAGCCGGGTACATCAACACGGCCTATGTGTTTTTATGAAGATTCTTTAACCTAACGATGTCATTATCGTTTAGATTTTCTTTTTTATGATAGAGAATAATTCTTTTAGAGAGAAGTAGACTATTTTTTGTTTAAAGTTTTAAAAAAAGAAACCTTTCTGTGAGCTTCAGGTGCTTTAAGATTGTCTTTTATACGATATCAAATACTTCTTTGTTAATATCTGTAATTTAGATGGACCATAACTTGTCGATGAAGATGCGAGTCTGTCTCATCGTGTTTATCATCTTCGTTCATTAAAGATAGCATCAAGACAGCAAAGATTTGGGTCTGTATTCGCATGTGGCCAAGAACTCACCTGTGTTTCTTTTTTGGTATGTGGAAGTGAAAAACTTTGCACATACGTATTTATTGGCTAGTGTTTAGCTCTTAATTGGTCAGGTCCAGATATATTAGATATAAATTGATGCAGCCTACCTGTACGTCCTAGGAACCTGTTCCTCGATCGAAGGTTCCGGTAACTTAACGGGCCCGGAAAGCTCTTCTGTTTTCATTCAAGATACAGGTTTCAAAAGTTTTGAAAATTCTACAACGAAACTATCAGCTGAAGAAAAAAATGGGCTGGTTAGGATACAAGAATCTGCCTCTCTAATTTTTAAGTTTCAAGTCAAAATATGGCTTCGGGCTCGTTAAGTTACTGGAGCTTTCGACGGCTATGACGGCTTTATTTACAGTACCGAAAGAAAGGTTCTTCTCTAAGAAGCATATTAAATTTAAAAAAATGTTCTTGGCTCTTCTCTTGTGAAACTTCTCTCCAGGAGTTAATAGTTGTTTTTGTAGCACAGTTTTATGTCATCAGTATGTTATACGTTTCTCTTATGTAATACTTTTAAGTTTCTCTTCGCTCTTGTTCTCCTTGTTTTCAACAAAATGTAGGAATTGTAACTTTTTTCCTTAAAAAAGAACAAAGATTTATAACATACTTTGTGTGTGTTTCTTAGAGAGAGACAGAATTAGGAACCCGTGACTGTTTATCGCCGGGGGGGAGGGGTTTTGAGGTGGGATCACATGGTTTTCTTGGGGGAGGGGAGAGAGGATCATTCGTCGCCAATAGAGTCTGAACGAGGAACTAATAATTGCTAACGGGGGAGTAATCAAAAGTAACATCACCTGGCCTGATAGGAGGATCAGCCAAATCTCCTACCCCCTGCCTTAGGTGATAAATAACAAAACTGACCCAATACAATGTAGGAAGACGAGCAATTAATTCCTTCTATATCATTTTGTAATTTTCTTATGCTCTGGTCTGTAGCAACCAGTGTTCGACAGTTCAAACGACAGACATTGTTTAATTCCTATAAACTGATTGGTTAATCTTGCTCAAGTAATTCTAGAAGTGACTAGATTAATGATGCCACAATGATGGCGAAATACTGAAAACCCACAAGCAGTGAAATTTCCGTCTTCCTGGAACAAGCAATGCCCATAAGCGAATATCAAAGTAGCTTTTTTGCGCCAAATGGAGACTATTGTTTAAACATTCATTCAGTACAGCTTTTACGCTTAGTTGGCAGCATGTAAATTATTATTGAGCAAGATTCACTTTATATTGGGAGAAGAACTATTTTTTGCCATTAATTCTCTTCGCTTCTTCGGAGAACCGTTTGTAGACCCAATTCATCAATTAATTTACGATCGACCGATTAGATTGCACGTCTCTGTAACCAGTCATCAATTATCTACGAGGTTGGGCAGGTGATAAAGTTTATTTCACGGAACTTTAGGTGATTTCAAATCTTGTACAACACTATCTGTGTTTTATGAAATATAATTACAAAATGTTTTATGAGTTCCTGCAAGGTTATAATTTTGTTCAGGTTGATCAAAACTTGATAATTTAAGAATGGGTCAATCAAAAGAGGGAAAGAGAGAGGACGAGATAAATAAAGTGAGTAGGGGCAGGAAATTTAAAAAAACGTAGCTAAAAGGCTGTCAGAAGCTAATATGACATGTCTTATGCACTTACTAACAAAAGAGAAGTGGCGCCTCGCAAAGTAGTCTTGTTAAGTACACACTGGTAATTTTATGTTGACCGGTAATGATTTTTTCCCCGAGAATTATGTAGTTAGAATATAATGAAATATCCTGTTAAAAACCTTTCCTTATGTAAACTGTCAGGTGCATAATATAACAATCTTGATGATGAATTTGATAGCTTTTTCGACGCCGTTAGAGTTATTCTGTGCAATCACACCATTCTGTTTGAATAAAACCGTGCACGGAGGACCATCAAAACCATAAGCATCAATACAGTTGTTGATGCAACACCAACGTCGTATCGATGAAGCTTGCAAAGGTTTTACTATTGATACTGTTAAAAGGAATTTTCGTTTTTACAAGCGACAAATTTACAGCTGCTTACTCGAGCTCAACCTATTTCCTGACTTTGGAAGATAAATACCTCACGGGTTTTGTTGTGGAACAGTTCGAGTCTCCGAGCTTGCTTTCATGTTCACATTCTTGTTTGAGAACTTCTTGGTGTTCTTCTACTAACTTTAAGGAGTATTCGATGACGGAAACAGGCAAATGCGAGTTGAACAGCCACGAGGTTCTCGATGTCGGCAAGGGTTCCCATTTCCAAGATCGCCAAGGCTCAAGATTCTCACTTCTTCGTAAGGTAAATTAATCAGTCAAACTGTAAGGTGGCTGCTAAAGTAAATATCAAAATTTTTCGGCAGTATCGTTTATAATTAAACATTTCAAGCTTAAAGGACATACCTCATCTTCCTCAAAATTGTATTTTGCTAACGCTCGTCTGGTTTTAGTTTAAAGTGTTAGAAATAATTTCCTAACACTCGTCGTTCAGTTGACTATATCTTTTATTCTCTCTTTTATTACGCAAGTTATTACAACGAGGATTAGCTCTGATCTCCCTAAGAAAGTGTGGGTCACCGCTTGTAAGGGTGACACTTACGGAGTTGTCAATCTCTAACCTTCGTCATACTTTTACACTCAATTAGCGAATCACGCTAAGCTACGTAGAGCGCAGTTCGCATACTAAGTGGATACTTTCGCAATCTTTCAGACTTAAATTTCTTGGTCTTACGGTCAAGTTCGGGCAAACCAAAAACGAGATTGACGTTATAAAAATCATAGTAAACTTACT